ATTTTCGGCGCCATGCAGATCTTTTATACTAGCAATATGCATGTAAGATTATTATCACTGACACTACAGTAATACTCACTGGAAAAATGGTGTTCTCCTGGCTATTTTTGTGGTCAAGATCGAGAAAGGATATGTTTGGCGCTGAAAATAACTATAATTTTCTATCAGTGCACGCGTTTGCCTTTGCGAGAAACAACCGAGTTCGCGTAATGTCTAAAGAACCGATGGGTGAAAGTCGGTATCACGAAGATTTCGGGACGCCAGCAACCGACCGAGAGCGCAGAACGCAGTTATAAAAGCTCAGGTGGCCGGGCCGCCTCAGGAGCGTTTGCAGAAATGAGAACGTTTGTCGGATGGTGTTACACAAACTGCGATTTCATTCGGTTGCAAACACGTGGAATTTATGCGTCCGACTAATATCATGCAGACCGCCGCAGCACACCGTCGCGTCGCGTCCTCTCGGGACGGGATGCTCTCCGGTGACCGGTAGTCGCGGGTTGCACCAGCTGTTGGATTTTTCAAAATCCCGTCAATTGTACACGCCGTCGCGTACTTTGCCGACTCTTACGGGAGAATCGAAGCGGCAAAAATATCAGAGGTCTGTGCCGGCTCCACTTTCAAGGAATATCGCGTCGCACTTACAGCGCCGCTGTAAAAAAAATACGGGCTGTAAAGCGAATCCGTATTTCGGACGTGCTCGAACATATTCGGACATTTTTGCGCAACCGTGATCTCGCTTCAGTGCTCCGTTGTTTTGCCCAATTTGAATAATCCGAGTGTCAAGACACGAACGCCATTCTTGAGAAAATTCGAGTTTGTATTTCTGACGCTTGAAGAATTCACTTTGATAAGATTAGAATAATCTCTGGCTGGCCAGTAGTACGAAAGTAATTCGAAATTAAATCAGTTTAGAATGAAGAACACTCGTTTCCGGAGTGGAAACCACTTCTCTCTCCCTCTCGCGAAATGAGAATTTCACAAATCTCGAGTTTCACTTTGCGAATCTCGCAAGTGTCGCGATTACTCATCTCGTACAACGGCGATGTTTCTTCGCGATCCACTCTGTCGATTACTCATCACGTGGTTAATTTTCGGAGATAATTGAAAATATAGATTTTCGTTGCTGAAATCGCGCTTTCCTCGGTGAAATACAGTAGGAAGAAAAGGAAGCAAGAAGAGGCGTCTTAATCGGCGAAAAGAAAAAGATTACAATCGTCGCATCTATCGTCGTTGGCCGTAATTCATCATACGTCGTCCCACAAACACCATGCTGACAGCTAAAAGTGCAAAAAGTCGCAGTCCCGTGGAATCGATTCGCGCCCGTTCGCCGTAGCTTCTTCGTCAATGTCAGATGCGCCAGGAAAAACTCTCGGGTCTGAAGAAATGTAATTAGTCGACGCGACGCGAACGTATCAAAATTGCTTCGCTCGTGTATCTTCCGTTTAGTATATATACGGTGAAACTTGCGGAAAAAAGGAGAGAGAAAGGGAGCGGAAATAGGGAGAGGATGTGGAAAACATGCGACTGCGGTGTCTCTCACGATGTTGCCGGTGTCGTCGCATGAAGCTGCTATCGAAGAAAAAGTTTTTCACGGTGTATGCTCACGTTTTCCTCTGTGAGTCGTTAAAAAGCGTAGGAGAGAAGAAAACCGAGCGAAAATACATGAGAAGCGCGAGTCGCAATTAGGGTCTCTCTTTACGACTTGTTATCCATTTCGACGTGTGGAAACTCGATTTACAAGCGAAACGATGAAAAGGAGAAAGTTTGCTTTGGTCCAGCCGTCATATTCGTCACGAATTGATTATTATCTACGCGACGCTGTTTACAGTCGCAATTAGAATGCATTGCGACGGAAAGGGGAACATTTTAGAATGTTAAGTGGCCGCGCTCGCTCCCTCGACCACAGAGTGCAATTTAACCGCCGAGACTCCTCGCGCGCGCGCTCTTCATTACGAATACTGCCTTCGCATATCTCCCTTCCCCGTGTGTCGTACATAAGCTCGACGCATCCAGCCCGCCCGTCATCGCGTCACGAGATCAATACTAATCTTCCACGCAGGGGAGGAACCGATTTTCACGAAACGACCAGTTCGCACGAGGAACTTTGCGAACTTTGTCGACGAAAAACAGAACGTATTTTCTTCCTCTCTTTTTCCCCCGGCAATTTTACGCTGAGAGTCGCCCGTGCGATCGATTATCCTCATAACGAAAACAATCGTAATAAGTGGAACACGTAGAACCGTGACGGCTAACTCGACGAGATTCGATTTTACGCGGTGTGGTAACTGCGCCAGCTGTCTCAGCGTGAGGTGTCATCATCTCTCTCTCCTCTTCCATCAAAGTCGATAAAACCACGACGCGCCGTTATTTCCGCGAGTATTCTTTAACGTTCGCGCTGCCTCTTCCGGCGTTTACTGCGGAAATTATGAGCTTCCGTTTTCCTTTTTCTTTACAACCATCCCCGCGAGGTACATTTTCAGCGAGCAAAGTCTTCAAACCTCCTGCGATATCAGCGCGCGCGAGCGTAAAAAGGAGTCTAAGGAATGTCAACTGTGCGCTTCGTTTGACCGTTGTTATTTCGCTCGAGCCGTTCGATTCGCCGCTTAAAAAGCACGCGTCTCGTCCATTCTTCTTTCCACGATTCGCGAAGAAACGCCTGCGAATCGTTTTTCCATCGTGCTTCCGCGAGCGCTTCCGTTACACGTCAGAAACGACGGACGGGCATGAATGTTGTTTGGAAAGATACCAATGCGAAAAGCGTGCCTTCGCATTTACACCGGTCTTTTATTCAAAAGCCTCTCAGGACGACAATTACGCGGCGAATGAAACGTGTATATTTGAGCGCATCCCTTTTTTTTTAAATGCTCCAGACCGTTATGACGTTAATAACTTCATATCTGTCGTGAAAGAGTAATTAATCCTTGAAATTAACTCGTTTACACGCATCCGTGTGTATCGGGAGATGCATTTCAGCTAAAAACAAGAGTTTTAAAAAGGGAGAAAATGGGGAAATATGATGCACACTAAAAGGATCTAACGATAAATGAGTAATAATTATAATGAAGCGATATCACACGCACACACGCACACGAATGGACGCTATTAATTTTCCTCCGTGGAGCGCGAGAGTAAATTGGTAAAATAAACGCAGAATCGCATGTAACGATTACGAGACGTACAAGGTAACGCAATTTTTAGAGAAGGAAAAAGAAAAACTGAAAGATTGCACACGACGTGCCCCGACTGGTAACGCACGTTCTTTAAATTCCGTTTCCGTCTGGTTTCCCGCGAGATTAATGCGCGTATGTATGCACGCGTGTGTGTGTGTGTGTGTGTGGCAGCCTGTCTACACCTCAAAGGATCTTTAGCAAAGTTTGCCAAGATCAGATGGTACGGCAGCCCGTACACGACCGACCTTTAATTAATTCCATCTGTAGCGCCTCGATTTCGCGTGAACCTAATTGAAACGTTATTCCAAAGCAGGTGTGAAGTACACGCTCGCCCGATTACAGTAATTTGCGTTTTAGGAATTTCGAGCGGTAAATCTCTACGTAACCGCGCATTAAGCCTGAAATTGTTTCCTTTCCATTTTTCCCTTTTTTACACACGTCGCCAGTTATCTCCGTCAGCTCGCGCGAATTAACGAGACCTCGCGATAACGCGCGCGCGATATTTTCTTCTTACTAATTCCACACGGCGATTGAATTTAATCTTGGGATTCGAACTCTTCTTCCTGGGGACGGGACGATTATTAGATTCAAGTCGGAGAAGTGGGTCGCGGTAAATTACATTACTTGAGCTTTTGTAACCGTGCAATTTCATAAATCGATAAAGGAAAGACGAGAGAAAAATATAGGTTTGCTGGTAGTTTCTATTACACTTTGCGCGACCGGTTTCGTTACAAAAAAAAACTCTCGCTCGTGAACGATATTTAACGAAAAACTTCTTAACAGGGCGATTTACATTTAGCCGCAGGAAGAGCCGCGTGTGTGATGGCACGACTCTGAGGTGCAGATTTATCGTCGCGAAAGTCAAACGGTTCGTCAGACTGCGGGAGGACGGTTAAAATCGCTCGCAGGCTTTAATCTCGCGTCGCGGCAGTGACAAAGTATCGCATCGCCGGAAATGCATCTGTCCGACGTGTTTCACGGTAATACTACTGCCGCGATCAGCCAATGTTAGACGTTACATTAAAGCCGGCTTTAATAATGCTGCGCGTCCCTCGATTCGTACAGAAGATAAAACAGCGTACCGGAATTGCCTTTCGAGGAAGCAAATTGTTTCTTATCGGGCGTCATTTCGATGTAAATTGTCGCAGCGCGATCGCAATAACCAAGTTCGCAACTGCAAAGTGTAGAATTGTAAAAAAGTGCATCAGAACAGGAATCTCATTTTCCGAGCCAGCTGTGTGGCAGGTTGGGGTATCAAAAGTCGCCGAAAGATATCGGCGTCTCGTTAGCGTTAGGCGCATCTCTAGCTGCTGTTAGCGTGTATTTTTCGCGCGTAAACCCGGATCTCGTTTTACTCTGTAACGCGGCGCACATAGATTACGTTTAAAGGCGATACGTCCGCTGATATAGTTGCTACTATAGAGTTGTCCTGTTGTTGCGGACCACCACCAGTCTCTCGACGCTCCGTTTTTTCATTCCTTCAACAGTTAGATATCTTCTTGCTCCCTGTGCGCTTCTGCGAACACCAAGTGCATCTCAAGACATGCACTGAAAGTTCATTTCAGAATTATTATTATTATTGTTCGTGATTATTGAGCAGTTGATCGCAAGTGTGCAGTTGGATGTGTCGATTTACTCGATGAATCTTCCCCCTTTGGATCTTTTCCCTGAGAAATCCTCTCTCGGTCGTTGTCGCTTTGCGCTGCACCACCGACTGCACACTCGCACGTCAGAGATGAATTACTTGGGCATGGCGTTCGAACGTTTCAACGAACACGCGCTCTACATGCACGCGAACTTAATGCCCGCCGCTTTTTCTGTCTCACGTAGGTCGACCTGAGACACATGGACGAGAAATCCGGGAGCAACGTGGTGGACGTGGGGGTCGACCTGTCCGAATTCTACATGTCCGTAGAATGGGATATTCTAGAAGTGCCTGCAGTTCGGTAAGGCTTTTATATTGCATCTCACTTTACGTTTCTCCCGAACGTACGTATGCGGTGAATCATTAAAACGTGCTTTGCGAACGTGTTCGTCTATTTTTCCTCCGGTGAAAATTTCAGAACTTTGACAATTTTCCACGCCAAATATCTCGGTAATATTAAATCGATATCGAGTAAAGTCACTCGATATTAAGCGCGCTCACTAGGAAATTTTCACCCTTGTACAATCGTGCTTCCTTTTTTGAATTAAAATTCTAATATGTGGATTAAAAGCATGAGCTGCGAACGTACACGCGCATTACAGCATGTATTGAAAAAATTGGATAATATCAATATGAAGCTGGTTGCGCAGTTAATTCATTTCGTCCGGATGAAATCTCGGTCTAATCTACGAGATCCTCGAGTAATAGCGTAGGCATCGGGGACTTCAAAGCGCACATAGAGGAGAGTCCTCTCTCTCTCTCTCTCTCTCTTTTCTTATGAAATTCCTCATCGTATTCAATATATGCCCGCCTGGCATACGCGAGCGGCTGCTTCCGAGCATAGTTCGATCCCGGATATTCAGCGTAGCGAAATGCAAACGGAAGCTGCTGCGATAACCGGGCATTTCGGCGACTCGCTCAAGGGATGCTTTAAAGGGTCGTCGAGGCGCCATGTCTTTAAATTACGGAACATTTTCGTGCATTATCGATACCTCCGATATTAGTTGAGCATCAGGATATCGCTGTCTCGTTCGATTTAATCGTCTCTGCTGATCGCCTTACCGAGGAGAGACGGAATCTTCGCGAGAAATACCGATCGATCGTCAGCGGGAAAATTTAATTTCGTCGCTTTCGCGCGACGACGCGTCTTGACGCGCGAAGATGAGAGCGAAGGGGAAAAATGCGGGCTAACTTTTCGTAAGACCGCGTGACCGAAGACTCTGTTTTAATCTCTCTTCGGAAATTAAACTTTTGAGAATTAAAGAAAGCAATCGTAATTTATTCTGGCAAAGACGCGACACGCCTGCGGTCCTAGGTTTAAAGCGTCATCGGTGCGAGAAGTAAGGAAGGGCCGACCCGAGTTTACCGACTTAGAGGGATATTCGGTGGGAGTTATACGACCCCGCGAAACTTTTCTCATAACTCTCGCTCGCGCAGCCGGCCCTACTTACTTAAAACGTACTTATTGTCGGGTACGAGCGCGCGACGCCTCTCCAAAAAGAAAACGGAAAAAGAAGCGAGATTTTTACATGCCGTGGGCGATTTCCTCTCTCTCTCTCTCTCTCTCTACTTCATTGCCGTAATTCTTTCTACCGTTCGTCGATCCGGCGATTAACCGCGATGTCTTTGGTGTCGCTTCTTTTTGCAGAAACGAGAAATTTTACACCTGCTGCGACGAGCCCTACTTGGACATCACGTTCAACATCACGATGAGGAGAAAGACTCTCTTCTACACGGTGAACATCATCATCCCCTGCATGGGGATTTCGTTTCTCACGGTTCTCACGTTTTACCTGCCCAGCGACAGCGGTGAAAAGGTGAGAGCGCGTACTGTATATGCTTCCGCGTCGGCAAATATTTGCGTTCGCTCCCGCGCTTTTAACCGCGTGGATTCGGTTACTTCCACCCCTCCCCCCCCTCTCTCTCTCTCTAGAATTATACTGAATTTATTATTAGTTTACCAACTTGTAATTTTTTACGGTCGCGTGGAACACATTTGACTTCGCTCTTTACTTTCATACTCTCTCGCCCTCTGCTCCTGCATCATTTAAATGGAAAATAACACAGCAAGCTTTTTCATTTCTGATTTCCTACAACTCTTCTCCTTTCTTAATCGAATTCTAAATGCGGAAACTCCCGGTCGAGCGAGGTTCGTAAAAATTTCGCAGAGTTTCACAAGACGCTTCGGCGTAACAGGGGGCATGTCCCCCGCGACGAAGTCTCCGTGAAATTCATAACGCGCAGAGATAAATACGTCTCGGAGAGTGCCGCGATTAATCCCTTATTCTCGGAAGCGACCGCGGGCGTGCGTGAAATATGCGGCGAATTAGTTCTCTTCCGCGTGTCTGTCGACCTCGTTATTTTCTCTTATCTGTAGGCAAGAGCTAGTAGTAGGTGGTTACTTTTGGCTCGACGGCGCCGGCGATTTTTCATCTCCGCCCCGGCCTCCGCTTCCCTCTCGACTTTCCAACCCACCGACTCCGTGCCTGTTCTCGCTCGTCCGAGGAAGGGATCTTTTTCCGCGCTGTCAATGTGTACCAGAGAGGAGGACGGATGTCCCAAATAGCCGCGGTATTGAATATTCTCATACGTGTCTCGGATGTTCTTGATATTCGTCGAATAATCTTGTTAACATTTCTTTGATATCACTTGGATATCTTTGGACGTCGCGAAAGGTATTTTTAACTCGAATGACAACTGCCGATCGTCGTTCGTTGTACACAGATAAATTCCCACGATAGGTTTCTAGTTCTCTCGCGGCAGAAGAAGCATCACACGTGTATCGCTCAGAAAGAAGATCAATATTTTCCGGAGTTTATAAATATGCAACTTTCTTTCTTCAACCGTTAGGTTTTGCTCTGGTAGTTCTCTGTAAAACACGACAGAATTTTCAAGCACGACAAAGTAAACATCGAATCGAGCGATCGTCAAAGAATCGTCCTTCGTCCAGTAAAATATGTTACTCAACATTTTTAGACGTTCTATATTACTTTTCTTAGACATCGCAAGGATATCTTCGATTTCGCGTATTTCTTTCAGGTCTCTCTCATCCGAGACATCTTTAACATTTATTATATTTGATACACGATCCCGCCCAATCTTCTCTGGATAACGTACGTGTTTCGGTTTATCCGACGAAAGCGACGCCGTTGACGTTCTTCCTGAAGCGTTCTTCTTCGCGCGGAATTATCGACGTGGCGCAGTATAAAAGCGCTTACGTCTCTCTCTATCTCTCTTTGCCTCGCTGTTAACGTTAACGTCCTGGGCACGCCGCGCGACTTGCCACAAAGGTTACTCGTTACGCTAAACTGGCATTGTAAAATGTTTTTTCTTCCCCAGCCGGCTTCTTTGTTTCTCACTCGGGCTCGTACTCAAGCACTCCTCGTTTCTCCTCTCTTCCCTCTCGCTGAACGAACACGGGGCTATTAGTCATGTTCGCGCGTAACTGAAGAACTATCGACCGTGGGCGCATTCACTCGCAATTAGTATTCGTCATTATGAGGAAGAAAAGCCGGTCGTTTGCGTTCCGAAGTATCGCGGAAAAACGTGATACGAATGTTTGTGCGCGCTTTTTCCTCCTCACGTTAATCCTGTCGACGTCGGGAGATCTGTCGATGGAGAAATGCGAGTCTGTGACAATCGGTTTTTACGCGACGGTGTTTGCAGATGCTATTCGCCGGGACGAGTTTTCAAAGTCGCTGCGAGTCGTCGTTCGTCGGAACGTAATTGGAGTCATTTTCACGCTCATGTTGCCTCCCGTATCTCAAATTACACGGATTTCCTTCAATTATCTTTCACATATGTTTACCTATCGAATACATCATTTTCCGGCTCTAATCGTACATTCGCAGGGAGTATATTTATCCGAGGTGTGCGATGTACGTCCGTCTTGCTAAGAAAAGATATAAATTCACACTATGTACTCCACATTCGCGCTGTTTGCGAAATGCCGCGGGTATAATTCGTAGAGAAGCACGAAGTCAATCATTCATGCTATCTTTAACCGTTTATCGATTTTGTTTCCGAGAAGCGGCCAACGCGAGAAAGAAACGCCAATCCATTATGCAACTGTATCCGCTATTTTCAAGCGAAAATACGAACGTGAGATACGCTCTATATACTTTCACAAAGGGGATACGTCTGCAATAAAATGTATGAAATGTCGCGCGATATATTTATTTCTCCTCGAATCACTATTTAGCCGTTCGATGGCGATTCTGCCGTGTCGCGCGTTCAAATTACAACAAGCATTTAATGAGAATTAAAATATCGATTAATACACGATATTAATGAAGGAGGCGCGCGATAGAGCCAGCGAATCTTCTCGAACGTAAGATTGCTCGCGAATTTCGCTCGCTCGTAATTTCAGATGGTTCGTACGAGGCCGATTGTGTGCGCGCTTGTTTCGGAATTGTCGAGCGAGTCTGCAATTTTTAGCGGTATTTTTGAGAATTCACCGCGCGAAATGGCACGCTGCGCTGGATGCAAGCATCCAACGAGAAAGTGGCGTGAGGAATTTGCGAACGAGGAATTTTCGTGGGAGCATCTCTCGTTTGGATGGCTGTCGAGTCGAGAGCTGCTATCGCTGTTCCGCGTTCTGGAATACGGGTCTTCCGTCATGGTACATGTCGGAAAAATGCAAGAAAGTTATACAGGACGTGTCAAGAGCGGCGCGCGTCCTCGCGATCCTCCGAGAATATATATTAGACGCCAGACTAATTGCGAGAGAAGCACAGTGATGGATTAGTTATAGAGACACGAAAATATTTCTCCACAGAGAAAACAAATTTGTTGGTTCAATTAACGTGTCAATGAACGAACGAAGTGAATTTTGATCGAAGGAAACAGAATTTCCTGGTTATAAGAACCGAATTTGGTTCGTAAGAACCAGTAATTGCGTTCCTTTCAATCAAAACATGCGTCGTTCATTATTACGTTAATTCGATCAAACTTTTTTTCTCCGTGTCGGTCACATCGGAAATTAAAGGCGATCTTGTTATATTTCCACTGTGTATGAATAATTCTCTCAGGATCCCACTATACGATTTTATTCGATGAAAAAGTTCATTCGATTCCAAACAAATCGAAACAAGAATTAGTGGCTCGAACGTGCTTTATCAGAAATTAATCGTGTCCGGATATCCAATAAAAACAATATGTAAAAATCAATAGAGAGAAGTTGCGGATGATTGTCTCTCGCACAAATCGTCCATTGTATCGAGGAAAAATCGATTCCGCGCACGGTAATTTTCTATAAAAATGCCACTTTTGATATACCGTGCACACGACCGGAAAGGTGCCACCATGAAGACTTCTTGAAATATTAAAGGCGCCCATATTACACACTTTGGAAACTCAGGAACCTAAGTTCGACGCTGTAAAACGGCTTTATACTTGCGCATTTTCTTGCAAGTCTGCGAGCGTTACGTTGCGCTTAATAATAGTTTGTTCTTCGCTATTCAGGAGCGAAATATTTGCGACGAGAGAAACAGACAGCTGAACGCGAATGAGTGTATTATCTTACTTGAATTTTAACTCGTCTCGTAATGGTATGTGTGTCAATTAATGGTAATCGAATTTACGCTTGTAAAGTTTCCACTCGATAAAAATCCATCTCTCGGAATCGGATCTGTAAACAGTGGAAAATGCAAAAAACATGTCGCGCGACAATTTTTTGTAAAATATTAACGCACGACTCGGAGGAAAAAGAATTGAAATAAGCGATGGAAGAAAAATAAATAGGGATTTTCGAAAAATAAAGCCGCGGGCGGGCGTCTACTGCAACTTCTAGGCACGTCCATCAAGCGAAGAGAATCGATAAGCAATATCGCGGTTCGGTGATTGACCCGCAGCGACTACGTCTACCGAAATTGCATACCACATACATTCCCCGTCTCACCTTTTATGACGCACGTGCTTCATGACTCCGCGTATCGCGTCGCGTTTTGTTGCTACTTTTTTTTGGTCAACGTTTCTAGATTTCCGCGGTCGCGTCGACCGTGCATTTGTTGCGACTACTAGAAAAAAATATCCCGCCGCTCCGTCGCGATATTTCCTCGCGACCCGAAATTCCCATTCGGGCGTTTCTGTTCGTAACAAAATTTGCGACGCATCAACCGCGGGAATCTCGACGAAGAACCATGTTCGATCGATGCGCGCAATCTGCCGAATGCCGTATGAAGATGTTGCTCGAAGGATATTATCATTTGACTGATACGATAGGGCGAAACGGCAAGGAGAAAATGGATGGAATAATATTATATCGCGCTGAGGGAGACAGAAAAAAAGAGAGATAGAACAATATAATCATATTTGCCTTTTCCGCGAACACGGAGCCAACTTCGTCGACATTCCAACCGCGTTAATAACTCTTCCTTCGGTCGTCCAGGATACGAAATCGGTAATTCGTCGTGCTTCCGTTCGAAAAATCGACCGGATGATTGACATACTGCCGGTTTGTCGGAAGCGCCGAAGCCCACTGGGAACATCGGACACCGCATCGAACGCGTTCTGACATTTCGCCTTCGGAGCCGCCGATTCCCGGCCTCGGGAGAATCCCGAATCGCAAATTGCCGTTCGATCACCGGTCGCTTAAGCTAATCGCCGTGATTAACTGGTTCGAGTGTCGCGCGTTCGTAGATATTGGCGGACGTCCGGCCTGCTACGTCCTACCATCGCGCGAGGTTTCTCCGATTATTCAATTTTCACCTTCAATCTATTCTTGAGAGATCGTACAACGCAAACTTTTCGGCGCGAAACAAAAGTAATATAATCGTGAAATGTGTGTGCAGAAGGATCAATATTTCATAACCACGATATTGTAAAATAGAGAGAGAAAGCACGCGAATATGCAATTATCTATTTATTGTTACCTGCAGAAAGTGAGATTTCATATTGAATACCAATAATCCCCTTTTAATCGTCGTTAATTGATAAAATTATGAAGGGAATGAGAGTATTATCGTGGAAAAACGGAACGGACGTCTAGTATTTGAGTGAGAAATTTGTCCTTTCTCAGTGTGGGTATGGCCATTTTGCGAAAGGTATCGGCGATCGTCATCGTCGGTGTACGCGAGCGTGGAGTTGCCGTCCTTCCGGTATCACGAGCACATATTGTACACGACCGAGCTGATCGAACAGCGTATCGCGTTAACTGTACGTCAACGTGGTACATACGCGGCTCTTGCGGATATTCCGTAGCGAACAGACCATGCCGTGACAAGACACAAACCACAAAGCAGTATTGGCTCGCATCGCTGTTTATCGTCCACGGCTAAGCAACAATAGCATGTACAATATCCAAATTATCATTTTATCGGATAGTCTTCCAATCGTCGTTTTATTCGCGCGCGTCTGAAATTTTGTGCCTCGCGAACAAAACATCGAAGCGTAAAAATAATCGCGACATCTGTAGGAAATAACGTCGGGATGTTCTCGCGAAAGAGCGAAAAATTATTTTCTAGAAACACGTTATTCCGTTATCCCACAATAATTATCGGATCGTTGCTCAAACGTTTGGTAGAAACAAACGGCGAAAGATGCAATGCGTTCAATCGCACCAAACAGAGAGTGGGCGACAATAATTAAAGGCGCGGTCGTACGGAAAGTAACCGGGTGCACTATCGACCCGAATGCATCGATGAAAGCCGCCAGAGCTGACGACACGGGAGCAGCCCGATAGACGCGCTATCGCGCTTCAGTGGTCGATCCTTTAAATTAATCGCTATGAAACGCCATTGCAACGGCGAAACCGCAGTAAAAATGAAGCGCGCGCTCGCTTGCTTGCGTTGCGTTCAATTCGCAATAAGAGCCGCTCGGGCCCCCGATAAGAGCCAACGTCGATGTGTCGCGTGTTATACATTCGCGGTTGCTGGAAAATGTAAACTGGTTTTTATTACTCGGCGAGAGAGCGGCACACTCCGATGTAATCAACGGGAAATGCGCTGAAAAGAAACGACCCGTTTTGCTCGAGGCATGTAATAAAAATCGATAGCCCGATAAAGTATTATAAATATTAAAAATTAAACGTATCGTCCATCAATGCACACTTTATGACATAATTGTATATAATATATATATGTACTTATCGTTTACAGATAAAAGGTAATTGGCGCAGAAAAGAGAGATGTGAAAGCGGACTCTAGCGTATTTCGCTCCTGGACGAAAATTGATGGGCAGAAAATGAGAAAAATATCTGTCTCAGTAGTATGTGTGTGCGATTCAGCAAAAGCACGCTTGCGATATAATTAAATAAATAAAAAAACGTGAATATTACGCGCTTTACAGAAATATTAGCGATGATAAAATGGAAATCGCTTAAGCGGAAAACGCATCAATCAGCAAAATTTTCAAACGAGAGGTATAAACATTGTCCGGATAGTGACTGGCTGGCAAGCTTGATGGACGGTTCCGTGTAACGATGAGCCGTGCGCTGTAAATTAATCGCCGTGAAACGCCGCAAAGCGTCACTGAAAAGCCATGCGGCCATCGCGTCCAATTAAAAAAAGGAAACAGACGAGCCCGATAACTATGTGTTACACGTTCGTCGTGTCGCGAGAATACTTTCCGCCTCGGAAACTGTTTATCGAGAATTATGTTGCGGAAGTTCGAACGGCGAAATGTATACTATTGACAGATGGACGACCGCGCGGAGCGGAGGAACGTATATGATATCGAATTGATTTCACTCCGAAATGTTTCTCCTCCCGGTAAAAGATATGTCAATTACAGACGGAACTTTTAATTAAATTTACGATCGAACTCGGTCACGTAACTTTTGTATTTCATTTAAGTCGTTAATACGTTTCTTTATTATTATTATTATTTTTTTTTTGAGATCCGACGTGTATTCGAATAAAGTCCGAGTATTGCGGATGGAATCGGACGATCGATCACGTAATTGTCTCTCAGTCCACTTTCCGATTTACCATTTTTCATCGTTTCAAATCTCACGTGAATTTCTCGTCCGCTCATGCAGTTCGTCGTGCCGTGCGGAAAAAAAAAGTTACATATGATCGTGATCTCCGCAAATTCGTGTTAAAAATCTTGCTTATCACTTTTTCATTCGCGCATATGAACATAACGTGATTGATTCTCGCGAGTTGGCAACGCGACGCGGTTGTATCCTTTGAGACAGCTTTTTTCAATTTCCTTCTTTTTCGAGTAAACATAAAACGTGTTCTCATAGAATTGTAAAATAACACGTATACTATCGATTATCGAGTATTGTCTAATTTCGTTTAGTGCCCGGAGATTTACCACAGTTGGCAAAAGTGTACGACTTTCTAACTTCGCGCAAGTCGCATTTCAAACGACATTATGCCGGGCATAAAAGAATGCGACGTAACTCTCCCGGAGGTCAAGTCGTGCGGGAAGATCCTAAGTAATCGTTAACCCGGTTAACTTCCGTTTCCGGCAGCGCGCAGGATGAATATTTAACGGCGAATCTTCTCGTGCTGTTACGCTAAATTTAATCATGCGCGGTCTAATATTCGATGAACGGTCGTCTCGCGTGCTACCGTTGAAGAATATTAAAAACGTCGAGCGCAAAATTATATATCGTTCCATTTTCGTTTCTTATTCCGCATCGCAGTTACTTACTCCGCAGTTATTGTCATTACACTCGCGGGCGTCGCTCAGTAACTGCGAGCAACTCGCGGACGCGACCGCGCACGTGCCCGACATTCGTTTGCAAGTTTTATTAAAATGAATGGATCACGAGCCCGTATAAATTCTCCGTCACCGGGGCAACTTTCACCTCCTCGCCAGGACCACGCCGCGCTCATCCTTCCCGTTCTCACTCCTTCCTACATTCTTTACACGTCTCATAAATACGAATTTTCTGCTCGACTATCCGCGGCCCTTTACCTGGCCCCTTCGAATAGGCTTGAATATGTCGCCTGTCAGGAGATACATCTCGCAAGAAAGCGAACATGCGTCTTCGGGCGTCCGCCCTCTCATTTTTTGCGTTTGTCCCACATGGAAATAACGGAGATAACGAAACCACCATTTCTCGGTCACTGTGGCTAATAAACGGCAAATTAAGGATGTATTGTCCATGACTCAAAATAATGAAAAAATTATTTAAAAAACTATAAATTGATCTACATTGCATTTAAAAGTGACACTAAAAGTCTGACAGTAATTCAGAGAGTCTGGATTAAAAATCATACGTGTTCCTTAAGATTAGAGTGCTATTTTTAAATATTTTTTAATATCTTTTATATGAAATAAATGTATAGGAACGCAATTTTGCTTGATGAAAACTAAATTTATAAATGGGTCTCTTGATGCGCCACTAAAAATACGGCACTAATGGGCAATATATCTTTAAAGCAATCCGTGTTCTCGGTCCAATTCGTAAATATGCGAGGATAGAAATTAACAGGTCAGAAGATAGATTTAGATTAGATTAGACCTTCGAAGTGACGTTACTCTTTTTTGCGAAGAGGTAATTCGTAAATTCGGATTTATAAAAATTCCAATACTTTATCTCGCACAGTTACGGACATGCCATCTATTATGTATTGAAAATGTTCTAAACCAATCTCTGTCGTGATTTTTCAGGTAACGCTCTCGATCTCGATTCTCATCAGCCTTCACGTGTTCTTTCTGCTGGTCGTCGAGATTATCCCGCCGACATCGTTGGTCGTGCCGCTGCTCGGAAAGTACCTGATATTCGCCATGATACTCGTCTCGATAAGGTAAGAATAATAAACTGATTTATCATCGCCGAAAGAGACAAAGACTCTTTTTGATTTCGGGAAATTATCTTTGGCAAATTGATTCGTTGTATGCGCGGCTGAGAGGACGAAAAAGCTTGTTGCAGAATGCAACGAGTTAGACGCGCGGAAAAACAATTTCCAGAAAAATTCGCACGACCGATCGTTGGGGAAATATGCTCGCCGTTGTTTCGTTTCGTTCGCGATATTGCACTTATGCGAGCGAGTTATCACCGGCGTTATCGATTAACGCTTTGACGACGAGTTATCGGCTCGCGTTCACGGTAACGACGATCTCGTAGCAATTAATATCGCCCCGTTGAGAATCGTGAAAGGGCGGCGCAATGATACCCGCGCGATCGCCGACTAGAAGTAGAAAAACAACGACGACGGTCGTTCTCGCGTGTGCGTTCTCGAAATCGACGCTAATTCTCGTAACAACCACGGCGGTATCGTTCGCAGCCGTTCTCTCTCCGTTTTCCGCTCCACTTCACGCGAGATCCCGATCCTCTTGTTTGAAACATTTAACACTAAATGCGGCCGCACATTTCCGAGATCTCTCCCCGCGATAGAACATTGGTTACATTCGATCCGAAAATACGAGTTACATTCAGAGAGTGGTGAATATGCGCGAAATAGAGATAGGATTCGAAAGCGAAGAGAGGACGCGCGAAGCTTTTTCAGTAAAATAACTTATGTGCGGCATGCTTTATTTAAGAATTGTTAGAAAAACACGTTTATACACATACACTCCTCATCCGTACTTGTAGAATTAACCGAATGCAACGGGACAGGAAGCAAACAACGACCATTCACAATTTACTTTTCGATCCTGGAACGGTACTTACCCCGAGCACGTACATCTTCGACGACGGAAACACGATACCCATTAACGTGGTTTCACCGGGAAATATCGGCAAAAGTGAAAGTTTTCCGTCGTAGAAAACACTATCGCGACGAGAGAAAAGCAAGGATGGAACAAAGGAGAAAAGTCGTGTAGCATGATACCTCTTGGAAAACATTTAAAGCGCTCGTTACGTAAGTTTCAACTTCTCTCGAGAATATGTGGCGACACATTTAAATTAAGATACAGCACAGAAAAAGCTTTATTCTTCGTGTGCTTCGTGTGAAACTGTGAACATTTCCGATTCTAGGACCGTGCTAATTTCAAAATAACCGAAGTTCAATCAGCGAACCGGATTTTCATTGAAATTCACACTACGCGAAGCCCAATGTCGCATTTAAATGGCGCTCGCCACGAATAAAGTCGTCGTTAACGCCTTTTCTCACTCGTTCATCCTTTTGTTCTGGCCAGTACTATCTTCATTTACGCTGACGACACCCTTTGGCAATCTGCTGCTAATAACACACCTCAGTGCCCCCTTAATTAATCTGAACTTCAACCTGTCCTTTCTCTCCTAAAAGAAAGAAAGTTTCCCGCGTAGAAAAGAAGGAACACGTTGCGCTCAGTGGAAACTTTATCCAGTCGAGAATCGTTACATCATAGAGATAAATTGCGTCTCTCTTCCTCTTTTTCTCTCGCTCTGCGATTTGACAATGACCGAGCAATTGAACTCGCCGAATCGGAGCGAAACGGGTCACGCGGACGCTCTCTGTCGCAGTTTTGAGATTCGCACGAATCGAGGCGCTTTCGGAATTAGCACTCGTATTTCGTGTCGTTACGTACGCACGGAGTAAGTGCGCATGCGAAATTCGAATTTAAATTAGGATACAATTATATTTTTCTGACTATATCCGTCCGCTCCCACGGCTATTTGTAATGCCGATTCGCGTGTAATGCCCATGATAATAGCCGTCGGCAAACGAAATAATTAATATCAAACGTGAGACCGGGGGTGAATGGCACCGCGGACACCGTGTGTTTACCAATTTACGATGAAAACGGTGCACACTCATCCTCCTGTCTTTGTTGCCGGCAAACACACACCCCCGCGCGCAAATATTTATTAATCTACTCATTATTTGTCCATGATTTATCAGCGAATAAAGCTGGATAAGCGAGTGTACACCATTAACTGCGCCGGCCGGTGTTGGCGCGACTCGAGCTTTTGCGCCGAACACTTGGTAAATATTTCCACATAATACAAATAATAATAATAATGATGATAATCGATAAAGGTTGAAAGAACGGGGAGGTACATCACACGGGTCGCGGGAGAACGGCACAGTTTCCTCGGATGTTCCTTCATTTCCTGCCACGTTACCCAGAAACGAGCTCCCCAAAATCCGTCGGATGATGAAGATCTGGCGCGCGCGGATAAACAGCGGCTTTTTGTTTTCGAATCTGGGTTATCGTAGAAACGAAACGCACGCGAACTCCGCCCCGTTGCGTCGCGCGTTCAGGCAAATCGATCTGTGTACCGTTAAAAGTAGCCCCATTGCCTTTACCACGCTATTTGCGATACGTATAGTAACGATAAATCCTCTAATTATAACGTGCGATAAATTACCGAATATCTGCGATAGAGAGAGATTCATTCGTGTATTTATTTATCGATTGAGAAAAGAGATATTCTAGTGAGAAAAACAAATCCAAAGATCCAACATTCGCGTGACAAGAAAGTCGACTCATTAGTCTAAGCTCAATTAGCGTTATCCGCTTAAGAGAATAGAGAGTTGCCAAGATTATCTCTGTGAATTCGTTCGGAAATCTACCTACATTTTTTTCGCCTCTGCCTAAATCTAATAAAATTTCCTCGCTGATGTCGATACGGAATGTATTGAAATGCATCGTCCGGAAGTGTTCAAAATCAATTCACACGTCGCGTGGTCCTTCGAAGCATGCGAAGCCGGAACGTTTCTGCTTAAAATCACGCCATAATCGCCTGCAGACTGAGCAAACATGAAACTAATCCCCGAACTTGTCGCCGGCTGATAAGTCGAGTTGATGTTTGCCTTCGTCGCTGACAGTGATCCGTTGCCGGAGAGAGAGCCAATGACATTAACAATTATTCGATTCGTGAACTTATTCATCGAATTTCACCAAGTCGTGGTGTCGATGTTCTCTCGCGATAGCGTAATTGCGTTTGTATCGAAGTTGTAATGACAAAAATAGCCATGATCTTCCTTTTTCCACGGATAAATATAAAGGCAGTTGTATATACATTTGTGTGAGTTGAATTGCATCATGTACGTCCGATCAAAGCTGCTTCAATCGCCACTGGCGAATAAATCACAATTTACCGAAACTGAGGGAGCTTGATAATTTATGAGCGACAGCACTCTCTCGCTCTATCCGCTGAATATACCGGTCGTCGACATTTCGGCGCATCAATTCTAGAAGTGTGTCTATTCACACCCTTTTGAAAAGTGCCTCGAGCGGCTAGCGCGTACGGTCCTTTTCAAAGGGACCTCGTTTCAATATTAATGGCGGCATTTGCTGGCTTCGTGCCGGCGACATTTAACTAACAACCCGGTCTATCCACCTCGCCATTTTTACGCGACCTCACGAACGTGTTCTCCGCTCGGCTTTTCCGTACCAACCCTGACCGAAGGTATCGCGAATAAGCCTTTTCTTCTTTTTTTTTTCACGGTTAAACACGCGCTTATTATTCGGGATGGTCGCGTCTATTCTTGCCGGTGTAACGTCGACGAAAATTGATCTGTATTTCGTAAAAGAAATTTAACGGGTCAAGGCTATATTTCGTTGACGCCACGAGAGATGTGTTCCGCTACATGTATATAAAATCAGTTTACGGTCCGATGACTCGACTTGTTAAAAAAGTATCACTCAGGCGGCGCTTATTCGATTTTATCGCGCGACTAAGATTAGTCGCAAATGCTCGGCGAGATCGGCGATTTCCAGCGCCGCCCCGGTCATTCCCAGGGTCGGAAAAGGACGATTTTGGGAAATCACAGAACGGCAGTAACAGAGGGATCCAGCGGTCGCTTTTGCGGCGCAAGGACGCGGCAAAGCGCGACATTCGCTTTATGGAGCGGAAAGAAAAGGTCCCGTCCTGGACCTGATCCAAATCCGTCGAAAGCAGGATTTTCGAGTCGACAACAAATGTTCCCGTAATGAGTGCTATGACGATCTCCGGCGATTTCTCGCGTTGCTCTTTCGCGAGGTTATTAACGACCGACGAATCCGGACGGACGGCGACGCGACTCTACGTCGCAGGACGAAGAAATTATGACGGACGTCACATCGCCGAGCACTTTGGGCTAATCGATGAGCGAGTCGGAGATTCCGAGCGGTTAACACGCATCTCGGAAAATGCCGTTCCATACGGAATACGCGAGAAGTAAACAGAACTCTATTTTATCCCGACGATCGGGTCTCTTTCTCTCTCTATTCTCCCGTATCGCGTGTAAATCGCGGTTGATATCTCGCATAGTTTACGGAGTTTATCTCGTAAAATGTTTGCCGCGTTTATAGAAATTACGCTTACGTGCCGGGGAATTCCGAGCATCTACGATTCGAGTCACGGAAACTTTACGAAACCATTGTTTGATTCGCGTCCATCTTCCGCGGGGACATGCCAATCACGTAAATACAGCTGTCCACCGTTGATCCTCGTAAAGCGGAACTGACGCGATAGCCCGCCAGGAGAGAAAGACGAGGCAAAAAGATGAAGAAGTCTGCCTCATATAAAGGACACCCGCAATATCTCTGCACTTTCGAGAAAAACTCGTATCGCAGTCGTGAAGTTTTGATGTAAAGGAGAAAGGGACTCTCAAGACTTCGCTACGATCGCGACGTGACTTCGCGGACACGTTTCCGCGAGCTGTCGCGATACATTCGTCACCGCGGCGAAGTTAAGCCCCCGCGGTCGGAATTATCGCGGCGAAGCAGCGGCAGCAGGAAATTTCCCTGTCATAAATTGTACGTGCCCGGAATTTATTTCTGGTTTTGCGGATACACGGAATGTCGATTGGTATACCGCGGGCTCGCGACCTTAGCGAGGTCGACGTTAGCGAACGATCGTACTTGATTTCTTTGATTCATTCAATTGTGCCGA